GAATCATCAGAAGGGCAGCAGTCACATAGACAGAAAGCTGGACAGACAGGAATGTATAGATAAGAAGGGCACAGGGAGGTGGTAGTCACAGGCAGGAGAGGGGAGGAGAGTTTTTATGGTTGGGGATGGTAATCGGGGCATGAAATTAAATGAGCATGAACTGTTGAATATAAAACAAATCTGTTTTGTAAATTTGCACCCAAAGCACAATTTAAAAAAAAAGATTATAGCCAAGATAATCCTATGGGACTGTTCTACTGTCCCATGGGGTTGCTTTGAGCTGGAATCAACTTGATGGCACACAACAGGCTAAACTCTGAAACAAGGGAGTAAAGATTTTTTTTAAGATCTTTTTTCATAAAAAACGAAATTGATAACATGCCACCTTTCTTTATTTTCTAAAAACAAATGCTTATAGTATTATGTTGGGCTTGTAATAGCTTATAAAAATGGAATTTTGATATACTGATAATACAGTGATTTATTATTGCTACACTGTGACATAATCCCTTTATGACCCATAGAACATGCAGTGCCCAACTACATTTTTCTACCTATAGGGTTTAGTGGGAAACTGCTATCCCATTTTTGTGCATGCTGCCATCTGATAGGGGCCTGTATAACTGCATGAATCTGAAGACTTGGGCCTCACCCCACCAACCCCAGCACTGAGAACCCTGGGGATATATGTGTCCCACATTAATCATATCATCAAAATCCATAGCACTTCAAAAAATACATTTTTTTTTCATCTCATTCAAAATACTTTCTATTACTGAAAACATGGTTTCAACAAAATATTCAAAGCAGAAAATAAAGTCTTGAAAGGGTTAAACTTACATTTTTACTCTTTAAGTAAATATTTTCTAGTGGCCTTTTCCCCATCTTATAACCTCAAGCACTCTCTAGGCCCTAGGAAAGGCACTCTCCTTTCTAAACTACCCAAACTGACAGAAATAACTGAGCTATAGTACTTGTCACTCCTAATTTATAAATCCAGTGACTACTAAGTGACAACAGGAGCTCTTGTAGTATGGTGCCTAAGGCACTTGACTACTAACCAGAAGGCTGGCATGGTAGTTCAAACCCACCAGCCACTCCTCGGAAGAAAGGCTGGGCAATCTACTTCCGTAGTGATACCTCCTTGGAAACCCCAGGGTGGGTCACTGTGAGTCAGGGCCGACTCTACAGCACATACAACACCACTAAGTGACAAGATTCATTTCATAAGATTTTTTAAATTGGCCTCACTACAACGTAGTTCTGGTAGCATAGTGGCTCTGGTAGCATAGTGGCTAAGACACTTGCCTGCTAACCAGACGGCTGGCGGTTCAAACCCACCAGCCACTCCTCGGAAGAAAGGTTGGGCAATCCTACTTCCGTAGTGATACTGCCTCGGAAACCCAAGGAGGGGTCACTATGAGTCAGGGCTGACTCGACGGCACATAACAACAACAACAACAACAACACAACGTAGTTCACTCATTTACTTGACACATATTTAACTGAGTTCCCCCAGGGAGTATTCTAGGCATTGAAGATACAATGGTGACTCAAAGTCTCTGCCCTTCTGAAACTTACAGTATAGATCATGACTAATAGGTTTTAATGAATAGGTTTTAACAGTCTATGCTGTAAAACTTTTTCTGGTAATTGAAAATCTTGCTATAATTTAAAGATATCATCATAAAGAACTCAATGTAATCTGGGAGACACTTAGTGAAGAGGAAGCACAATGCCAGTGGTTCTCTAACTTCACCATGCAGGAAAAATTTGATTCTGGGGTCCTCTGGTAGCATAGTGGCTAAGACACTTGCCTGCTAACCAGACGGCTGGCGGTTCAAACCCACCAGCCACTCCTCGGAAGAAAGGTTGGGCAATCCTACTTCCGTAGTGATACTGCCTCGGAAACCCAAGGAGGGGTCGCTATGAGTCAGGGCTGACTTGACGGCACATAACAACAACAACAACAACTCCTGGGCAGTTGAATTCTGAGGTGGGTTGACAGAAACTTGTATTTTTTAACAAGGTACCACAGTTATTGTTGATGTAGATGATCCAAGGTCCAGAATTTGAGAAACCCGACCAAGTCAGTGATGGTGCCATTTGGAAAGGAATGATCATTTGGAAGAGAAAGGGCTCAAGAAAGTGCTATGACAATGGAATCTAAATAATATAAACCCAACCCTCATGTAATTAATTCTCTATAATTCACAAATTCAGCAAATTAAAAAGATTGGTAAGACTAGAGGAATTTCCCAACACCACCTCCTCAGTTTCTTAAAAGAGTTTTTAGAGTTTGCCTCAACCTAGGCATTAGGGAAATGATGAACTTCCACACCAACATTAGAGATAAGCATTAAGAAGAAAATTGCTAGTTAACAGGAAAAAAACAAAAATGCTAAGAGTGACAAATATTTCATGGAACTAACTTGCTACCACTCATTTTATGCCCTATTTCACAATACTATTTTCTGAACAATTCACAGGGTTCCAAAGTACATTAAAAATGTGTTCATTTCCTCTTTTACTCAGATAGATGAATAATAGAGTTTCGTGAAAGTATCCGTGCCTAAGCAATTTCAAGCAATAAATCCTTAGATAAAGAATTATCTTTCTTTCTTTTTTTTTTTTTAAACCTAGGGTCAGAAGAGGTCCCACACTGGAACTACTTAAAGGGGTATGAAACACTTTTAATGCTCATCAAAAAGACTATTTCAAGAAAACTAGTAAAAAAAAATTTAAATCACAAAAACATAGTATCTTGTTCTTAGATAAACTGAGCTTAAACAGCTTTCAACTTTAAAACCATCTAAAAGTAAACATATCCAAACAAATGTATGCACCATATTTAAGCGGTTAAGAGCCTCAGGCGAACTGGCTAACCTGCCCTCAGACCCTGTTCACTACACAATCCATGAGTATCTGAGCCTTGTTTCTTCAGAGGTTCCATGGGAAAATTGCCTCCCTGCAGAGAGCACTGAAATTTTTCAGATGACATTTGTTTGTTATTGTACTTGTTTTTATGATCTGCCCTTTTTATTGTACCTGATTATCATTTGCACGTCTTTACCACGAAAATAGTAAGAGGAGGGTCCCAATAGATATGCATAAAGAAACGCATCTGGCGAGAAAGTCTGCATATACTTGAAATTTCAGATAGATACAGCCTTCAGAATAGTACCGAGATGATGGCAAAGTTCTAATGGAAACTTCATATTTAAGAGACAATCAAAAATCTCCAAAGCTTCCAACGCATTAGAAAAGCCGCTAATCTGTTTCTTGAAAAGCAAAGCCTTCTTTAGTCAGAATAACAACAGAAGATGCCCGTAGGAAATGTAATCTACGAAATTGTCTTCTAATCCAAAAACAAACAAAAGTGAAGGAAGGTGCAGCCTACTTCTCGTTGGTTTCCTTTTCCTAGAGATTTTGATTACATTTCCTCTCTTTCCAGCAAGAGGAGACCGCAATCGTGCCTTCGGTTAACACCATGAAACGGTGTCCGTGCGTAAAGAAGGGAAGGAGAAGACACAGCGGGAACGCACGCTTATGCTGCAAAGGAAGCCGCTTTCTGTTAAATACCAAGAGTCAATCCCGGCAGGATGAATTGGGGCCAAACGGCATTGACTGCCCTTCACTGACGGATGTTGCAGGCACACCAGTGAGAAGAAAGAAGGATGAGCCGGGGACTCGAGGCCGGGGACGCGGTGGGAGAGGCGGGCTGCGCGATGCCGCTCCCCGCGCGCTCCGGGCCCCTGAGTGGCTGGCGGGGGGCGAGGCTTGGCCGGCCCACCTCGCTCAGGCCGGCCGAGGGCAGCGAGGTCAGCCCTGGAAGGACTGGCCGCCCCCTCCAGCTCCCGAGGGAACGACGCCGCTCTGCCTGCCAGAGCTGGGGGCGCCCATTCAACCCAAAGACCTTCCCGCGGCCACCACCCCCAGGGCCCGCCGCGGCGCCCCAGGCCCCCTGCGCTGGTCCGCCAGCCGCCCTGCCACCGCCTCCGGGAAGATGGGGAAGGACAAGGCGTAGGGCTGCCGGTGCCGCGCTTCCCTAGCGCGCGACAATGGTGAAGGACAGCTAGAGGAACGCAAGCCGGCCCGCCGGACAGGCGCCCCGAGCGGCCATCGCGCCGACCCTCGCGGCAGTTAAGCCCGTTCCTCACCTCATCTCCAGGAGGATCCGCGCTGCCGCCCTAGGGACAAATCAGTGCAGCCCACACGCCGGGGGGAGGCCCGAAGGAGCCGCAGCCCCACACATCATCCCTGCCCGCTTTCCGATCTGTCGGTCCAGGAGCCCGCTCGAGATTCTCCCTCGCGAGCCTCCGTACTACGGAGCAACCAAGCTGCGCTCCCTCCCCTGGATCCGCTGTTCCTCTCTACCTCCTTCTCTCCCTCCCTCGCTCCCTCGCTCCCGCCTATCTCCCCATCTCCCTCCGCAGCCTCTCCCGCCCCCATCCACCCCACCATCTCCGCCCACAGGTGGGTGGAGACAAACAGCCAGTCAATTGGAAGAAGGTGCCTAAACCTCATTACCGCCCCCTACCGCTAGCCCCGCCTACCACGGGGACGAAAGGAGGAGGAGCCGAAAAAAAACCTGTAAAAGACTGAGCGACAGCCAAATAAACCAGTCAGCATGCTCAAACGAGGCGGGAGTAGGCCTCTTCTTGCCTTCCCACCCCCACCTCCACGAAGGCGTAACTTGAGGTTTTGGGTCTGAGATTTCTCTGTCGAGGCTTATGGAGTTTTGACCCACAGTTTCAGTGCATCTGTCAGTTGCTGTTCGAGATACTCGATAAGGTGCACTCAACTAATTTAATCATGGAAAGTGGTTAGGTTTACGATTGGAATGAGGAAGGGTGTGATCTGTAGGCTGAAATTTGCATAAAATGGAACCCACCCAGGTGACTACAACTTCCCCCGTTGATTGGTAGCCCACGGTACGGCGCCTCGCTCCACCGAGCGGAGCATGCAGGGAAGTGTAGTTCAAACTCAGAACTTGTGATGGTTGCTATGGCGTTCTTCACAGCCTCTAAGACTCTGGCCCATCCCTGTAGGAGTGATGAACGACCAGACCAATGGGAGCAGTGCCGTGGCGCGAAGAGGCGGGCCCTCTGCGGAAGGACTCGAAGGTGGCGGTGGCGAAGCTGCAGGCAGTTGGGGCCTCTCCGAGGCAGGTGAGCCTCAGAAAGCGTTATGTGTGTCTTCGGAAACAGGACTTTTGGGGGAAGGGCGGAGAAACACTGCACCGAACTGTCAGCTGTGGGGAGGATGGTGGTTCACGTCGCACCCTCACCTCAGACCCAGTCGCGTCCAGGCCTAGGTTGGCTAAGGCCGCAGGCAAACAGTAAAGCTTGATGGACGATTTGAGTCGGAATTGACTAGACGGCATCGGGTTTGGGCGGGTTTTTTTAATTGTAGGTTTTATCTCCGTTTGCATCTCTGTCTCCCTTTTTGTGAACAGGTCTGGAAGTTCCCTTATTATTTTCCAGGTTGGATGTATCCCCCCTGCTTGTTATTGTTCCTATCATTTGAGTTTCTTTTTCTTTCTCCCAAACTCTTCTCCCATCGCTTTCTCTCTCCTTCCTCGTTCTTTCTATGATCAATTTCCGAAAGCAAGGTAGCTTTAGGGCCGGATTTGCTCTCTCCATTTAGTCAAACAACTGATATTCTGCAGCAATGATTAAGAATCGGCTCAGGATGTTGTTAAAGTGCAGATAGAGAGATACCTGTTTGTGTAAGCCTGGGGAGGGACCTGAGGATCGCTACCTAGATGTTGCTAGTCTGCATTAAGAGTAGCAAAGTTCTACATCAATTCTTTCTATGCAGTGCAAATGCAATGCGAGCCACCACTTACCTAAACCTAATTTTAGACTTTCTCGTAGCCACGTTTTAAAAAGTGAAAAGAAACACATGAAACTAAATGTATTTCATTTTACCTAATATAACCAAAATATATCAATAAGTAATCAATATAAAAATTGCTGGGATTTTTTTTTTTAAATCTTAGAAATTCAATGTATTTTGCACGTAGGGCACATCTTAATTCCGACTAGAAAAGTTCCGCATCTAGTGGCTACTGTATTGGACAGTGGAGATCTAGCCCACTTTAGAAATTGAAAGATGTTGAAAGGTCGGATTGCTCATGACCAGACCTCTCTATGAGATGACTTCAGAGCTACTGTAGAGGTTCTCTGCTTTTTACAGAAATAATAGTAAAAACGGGTTTAAAAAAAAAAAAAAAAAACCACTACCGTCTAGTCAATTCCAACGCATAGCGATCCTATAAGACAGAGTAGAACTGCCCCCATAGGATTTCCAGGGCTGTAAATCTTTATGGAAGCTGAATGCTACATCTTACACTGGCTTCTGGGCTGGTGGGTTCAAACCGCCAACGTTTTGGGTAGCAGCTGAGCTCTTTAACCACCGAGCCACCAAGATTTCTGAAAATAGGTAACATGTTGAATGCTTATTTGGTGCCAGGTGTTGTTCTTAGTGCTTTGCATGTAGCTAGTATTTAATCCTTACAGCAACCTTTAATGGTCATATTATTCCCCCACCCTACTCAACTAATGCTGAAACCCCTGATCAAAGTGCATATCCTCTATTTTGGGCAGTCTTCTGTAGAGATGCAGCCTAGGAAACCCAAGGAGGGGTCGCTATAAGTCATGATTGACTGGACAGCAGTGAGTTTGGTGTTTGGTTTTTTCTTTTTTCTGGTAGCATAATAGTGCCTAAGGCACTTGACTGCTAACCAGAAGGCTGGTGGTTCAAACCCACCAGCCACCCCTTGGAAGGAAGGTTGGGCAATCTACTTCCTTAGTGATACCACCTCGGAAACCCAAGGAGAGGTCGCTATGAGTCGGATACAACTCAACAGCACCTAACAACAACAGTGGATAAGGCATTTGACTACTAACCAGAAGGTCAGCAGTTCAAACCCACCAGCCACTCCACAGAAGGAAGATGGGGTGATCTGTTGCCATAAGGATTTACAGCGTCGGAAACCCAACGGGGGTTGCTCTGAGTTGGGATCGACTCAACGGCAGTGAGTTTGATTTGGTTTTGGTTAGTGATAGGGACTTAGCAACTTCATGCAGTTTCCTCCTTTAAATTTTGAATTATCTACCTAAAATGTGAAAGTAAAAAATTCTTGTAACATGGAATTGCTTTCTAGAATTTAGCTAGGTGTGACCACTGCTGTCCCCTGTGTGTGTGTGTTGTGTGTGTGTATGTATATATGTATAGGAACTCTGGTAGCATAGTGCCTAAGGCACTTAACTGCTAACCAGAAAGCTGGCAGTTCAAACCCATCAGCCACTCCTCAGAAGGAAGGTTGGGCAATCTACTTCCGTAGTGATACTGCCTCAGAAACCCAAGGAGGGGCTGCTATGAGTCGCACCGACTCAACAGCACATAACAACAACGTAAGTATATGTATGTGTGTATATATGTGTGTGTGTGTGTGTGTGTATACTTGTGTATACACATATATATACATATATATATATATATATATTTGTAGGGAGCTCTGGTGGCGTAGTGCCTAAAGCATTTGCTAACCAGAAGATTGGCAATTCAAACCCACCAGCCAGTCCTTGGAAGAAAGATTGGGTGATCTACTTCCGTAGTGATACTGCTTCGGAAACCCAAGGAGGGGTCACTATGGGTCGGATCCAACTCGAAGGCAGTGAGTTTTTGGTTTGGTATATATTTGTAGGGGGCTTAAACATGATAAATCTTATTTCTCTTTCATGTAAAAGTCAAGGTAGGCATTCCAGGGCTGATGGGGGTTGTTCCACTGCGTTAGGGACCCAGGCTCCTAACTTTTTGCCTGACAGAGCTTTACTTCCACTCCTAAGTTCAGCTTCAGCCAACAGCAGCAGCATTACAGCAGCAAGAAGAGTCAGCTTTTTTGTTGTTGTTGTTGTTGAAAATATACACAACTAAACCTACATCTTATAACAGGCACAAGAGAGCAAAGCAGTTGTATTCAGCAAAACAGTGTCACTTGAGTACTTATTCCTTACGCAAAGTCTCATAGATTATACAGATTTCTAGAGACTGTTGCCTACACATTGTAAAGCTGTCTTCCAGTTGTTAGGACTGTGCATTTGTCCTCCTCTTTGACTTAGGAAAGGAGTTCTGGTGGTGTAATGGGTAAGGCATTTGGCTGCTAACCAGAAGGTCAGCAGTTCAAAACCCACCAGCGATTCTGTGGGAGGAAGATGAGGCAGTCTGCTTCTGTAAAGATTTACAGCCATGGAAACCCAATGGGGGTCACTATGAGTCAGAATTGACTTGAAGACAGTGGGTTTGCTTTGGTTTGGTGTTTTTTGAGCTAGGAAGCAAAGCTGGCATATGTCGTTAGGACTGCCATCCTCTAAAAAAAGCAAACCAAACTCACTGCCGTTGAGTCGAATCTGACTCATAGCAACCCCTCCTTGGGTTTCCGAGGCAGTATCTCTATGAAGGTAGATTGCCCAATCTTCCATCCAAGGAGTTGCTGGTGGGTTTGAACCACCAGCCTTCTGGGTAGCAGTCAAATGTCTTAGGCACTATGCCACCATCCTCTGCAGCCTGTATGTATACTAAACCAAACCACCAACTAGTTACTTTGATTATGCTGGCCATACTTTTAACCAATTATCTGGACACATAGTTTGATAGATTACTTTTTCTGCTTTGTGGATATATATGAAAATCTTCCAGATGAGTAAGAAAGAGCATTGTTAAAACTTAGTAAGTCACTTCTTCTCTAATGATCAAAATGTAAATGAAAATTTCCCTCTTAAAAATCCAAAAAGTCTTATCATGCTGTGCACCAGGTCAACAGCACAGAGGTTAGGGCACTGGATACACAGATAGCTTAGAGCCTGTCATGGTGACCAAACCGAGCACACGAGGCCACATTTCAGAGCTGTTTGCTTGAAAATACATCATTACTTTCCTTAAAATAAAAAATGATGATGGGTTAGAAACTTTATAGGAACCCAAAACCTGAAGTAAATGAAGTTTGTGTTGATGAATAATAGAAATAAGAGCATACAAGAACTTTGAGGGACTGAGTTGGCCATAGGGGGTGATGGGTTGGTTGGATGACGGATGGAATTGAAGCCATTCACCAGTCTGTGGCCATAACCTAGGTCTTCGGTAATTGAGGTACTAGCATATCACCTGTGCTAAGGTGATGGTCCTTGTAAATGAGTCAGAACTTCTTAAAGGAAACAGAAGCTTTATGATTGATAATTTAATACAGAGGAGGGACTTATAACTGAAAAGAGCATACCCTTGCCCTGGGGAAAGATTAGTCCAGTTTTATGTCTGTTGAATTTGAGATTAGTATGATCCTTAGGACACTGTTGTCTGCAGGTATAGATAAGGAATGATCTGTAGAGGTTTTGTTTACAGTTATTAATGGTTGAGCTCTTTGGGGGTTGAGTGTAGCAGTAGAGTAAGGGAGTTCATGTTGTTTTTATAACTGAGATGAAGCCATTTGAAATTTCTTCCCATTGATATTTTTTTAAATCTCTTAAACCATTATCTTTATTAACTACTTTTTTGAAATGTTATAGTCACATGTTTAATTTATGCAAAGACCTCTTTTCTGCTTTGTGCCAAAAATTATTTAATGTTTTTATAGCTCTTAAAATAGATCATTGCCTTTATTAACTACTTTTTTGAAGTGTTGCTTATAGTTATATGTTTAATTTATACGAAATCCTCTTTTCTGCATTGTACCAAAAAATATTTAAAATAGATGTTTTCTCAATTATTCTTTACCCTGATTTTTAAAATATATTTAATGTGTAGCCATTATAAAATTTAAAAGTATTATGGACATAATCCTCAATGTGTAGACTCATATCAAATATTTTTTTAAATCTGATATGCCTGTAAAAATATGAAATCTTTGTTTTTCATGGAGTATCTTCTTATACTTTTCAACATATACTATCTTTTTATATAGCAGTGTTTACGTTGTTGTTGTTGTTGTTTGCCATTGAGTCAGCCCCAACTTGTAGTGACCCCTCCTTGGGTTTCTGAGGCAGTATCACTACAGAAGTAGGATTGCCCAACCTTCCTTCCAAGGAGTAGCTGGTGGGTTTGAACCGCCAGCCTTCTGGTTAGAAATCAAGTGCCTTAGGCAGTATGCTACCAGAGCTCCTATGCTTACAGTAGAACATATAAATTTGAAGTTACATGACATTCATCCTTAGAAAAAAAATGATAGTTTTTATTTATATTTGTGTTCTATAAGGCTTTATTTCCTATGTGCAGATATCTTTTAATTCATTAAAAATTATATTAAGTAATACACTGAGTGTTCCACTTAATCTGGACTGTAGCTAAGAAACCATTTGGCCTTGAATACTATTTATTATGCCATTTTTTTAGGGTTAGGAACTCAGTATTCCTGTTAGGGATTTACAAAACAAATAATTGATATTTCTTCCATTTTCTTCTGGCCAGTTTTATAAAAATACTTTTTTTTATTGTAACTTTGAGGATGTTTTTGATCCTACACGGTTAGTTATTTAGCATGAGCTGACTAATATTAGCTATAATATAGCTAATTATATTAGCTTAATATAATATTAGCTTAATATAATTAATATATTATAATAGCTATAATATTAGCTTAATATAATTAATATTAGCTATAATATTTGCTTAGGGGGATCCTGAGAAGCATTTAATTTGGGGTACACTGTAAACTGCTTGTGACTGCTGATCTAGGAGACATACCAAATTTATTTGGATGCAGTGGCTGAAAAGACAGTGGTTTTCAGAATCACAAAAGCAGGTGCTTTGAAGTCAAGGTGTTGATTGTTCCAGTTCTCAAAAGGTAGCTCCCGACTGAGTTAGAGCAGAGATTTTATTTATTTAATAATAATGGATTTTCATTCTTCCAAGCAATAAGTGGGAAAGCCTCCTCATTAATAAGTAAGGTAAGGTTTTATATATTAGTATGTAATGAAATACAGAAGCATGGTTCAGATAGCTTAGATTGAGTATCACTGGGGGATCATCTCAGAGAGAGGGAAGGACTTGAGTTTTGTTAGCAGAATGTGTATAGCCTGTTGTCAGTGAACAAGCAATACCTAGAAGCCCTGAGGCAGGTATGACCATATGGTAGGAAATCATACTATAGGGAAGTAAGGCAGAATAGGCTGAAAAGCTGGGCAGGAGAGGTTAGATTTTATCTTGTAGCTCCTGTGTCTGTGCTTGGGAGTCCATCAGTGGTGCCAACAGTTAAAATGCACTAGTTCACTAACCAAGAATTTGGAGCGATGCCTCAGAAGGAAGGCCTGGTGATCTACTTCTGAAAAATCAGCTATTGAAAACCCTGTGGAGTACAGTTCTACTCTGACACACATGAGGTCACCATGAGTGGAGGATGACTCAACAGCAACTGGTTACTGATTATATCTGTGCTTACCTTCTCCTCTCATCCTGGACTCTCCTACCAAACACCAAACACAGTGACACACAAACAGACCTTCTGTAACCAAAGGGTTAGTAAGTGCAAGAATTAATTTAATCTTTTGACTCAGCTCACTCTTTTTATGTATTTTGTTGATACATGCTATATATATAAATTCTATGTATGTCCTGATTATGTATTTATTTCTGTTAGTTCCAGTGTTCGATTATAACATTCTAGAAAGCAGCAGCTAAGGCTCAGCTGATTCAATAAAAACCCTCCATATGGATCCATAAGATCCACTAACATTTAACATGCAGGACTGGTTACATGTATGCGCATCCTGTACAGTCACACTGAACCTCATGCTCAAAAGGAAGCTGTACTTGCTTTAATGCTCTACTGCCACCATCTTAAAATTTTAATAATTTTTGAACATGGTTCCCCACATTTTCATTTTACACTGAAACCCATTGCCATTGAGTCAATTCTGATACATAGTGACCCTGTAGGACGGAGTAGAACTGCCTCAAAGGTTTACAAGGCTATGATCTTTCTGGAAGCAGACCGCCACATCTTTCTCCCATGGAGACGCTGGTCAGTTTGAACTGCCACACTTTTGGTTTACAACTCGGCTCTTAACCACAGCACCACCAGCACTAGACGCCATATATTATGTACAGATCTATCAACAAGTACTTAATAATTAATCCTAAACTGAAGGATGTAGAATTATAATTTTAAGGGATATATTGAATATTAGCAGCTCATTGAGAAACATTAACTATAATGGTTAAGAATAATGACTTTGGAGTAATTTGGACCCACTTTGTGTCTTTTTTTGTGTCTTAGCCTTGGTCCCACTGGTGCTATAAGATCTTAGGTATGTGCTTTACGCAATCTAAGACTCAAGTTTCCTCACTAAAAAGAGCATGCACAAAAATCTTCTTAACAGGACAATTTTTAAAAGCCCTAGAGTGAGTTGTCATCCTGAAGGAGCAAGTAATTGGACCTGTGGGCTCAGGATCTTGGTTGCAGGGGACATCAGGGTCATTTGGCATAACATACTATGCAAAACTACATACTACTACATCCTACTTTGATGAATAGCAACTGAGGTCTTAGAGTCTTGCAAGCAGTCATTTAAGATGCAGCAATGGGTCTCTCCTCATCCAGAGCAGAGAACAATGAAGAAAATTAGTAGACCATACGATCCTCAGTGTATATGACCATGAGACCAGAAGAACAAGATGGTTCCTGGCTACCACTGTCAACCACTTGGAAAGGGATCAGTGCAGGAGATCCTGGATAAAGTGGAAGAACAATGTGGAACAAAACTCAAAATCATAAAAAACAAAGACCAGATTTATTGGTCTGATAGAGCCTGATGAGACCTCCGAGACTATGGCCCCTGGTTACCTTTCAGGTCTGGAACTGAACTCACTCCTGTGGCTTCCATCCAAACAATAGACAGGCATACAGGGTGAACATTTGCATCAGGTAGATATACTTCTTGGAGCGACCAATTATGGGAAAACAGAAGGGCAGTATTTGCACAGGGAGATAGTTTGAGAGGCAAGAATGCATAGGAAGGAAGGATGGAGGGAAAAGGTAACTACAAGGAGGAAGTGGGAAGAGAGCTATTACATTGTGCGTAATTGCAGTCGGTGTCATGAAACAAAATCTGTATGAACTGCTATGTGGAAAATGAATGTTCTGTGAACTTTCACCCAAATCACAATACAAATTAAAAAAAAAAAAACTCTAGAGTTGAAGTAGGAGCACTGGTAGCATAGTGGCTAAGGCACTTGACTGCTAACCAGAAGGCTGGCTGGTTCAAACCCACCAGCCACTCCTCGGAAGGAAGGTTGGGCATTCTTACTTCCGTAGTGATACTGCCTCAGAAACCCAAGGAGGGGTCGCTATGAGTCAGGGCCGACTCTATGGCGAACAACAACAACAACAAAGAGTTGAAGTAGTGTCCCATAAAATTCATGTCCTCCTGGAGCCAAAGAATGTGATCTTATTTGGAAATAGAATCTTTGCAGATATAATTAAAATGAGGATACTGGATTAGGATGAGCCCTAAATCCAATGAGCTTGCCTTTATAAGAGATATCAAAAGACACACAGAGATACAGGGAAGATAGAAGCAGAGATTAGGGTAATGTGTCTACAAGCCAAGGAATGTCAAAGATTATTTTGCAGCCACCAAAAACTAGGAGAAAGGCATGGCATGATTTCTGTGTTAGCACCTCCAAAAGGAAACTATCCTGCCAACATCTTAATTTTGCATTTCTTACCTTACGAACTGTGAGAGAATAAATTTCTGTTTTAAACCACCTAGTTTGTGGTACTTGGCAATGGCAGCCCTAGGAAACTAAAACAAGCCCCAAACTGGAAAGAATCCTTCTATAATGAAATGGATAAACAGTGATTTATTCTTAAATGGAATACTATACAGCAATGGGAATGAATGAACTACGACTACAAGCAACAACATGGGAAACACAAACATAATATGAATGAAAAAAGCCAGACACAAGAAAGTAGTATTCATTTATATAGAGTTCAAAAACAGACTAGTCTGTGCTATTAAGACAGGATATTGGGTGTCCTTGGCAGAGGGAGGTAGTTACTAGAAAGAGGTTCAAGGGAGCTTCTGAATGTTTGGTCATGTTTCCTAATTGGGTTGCTGATTACATAGACATATTCACTTTATGAAATTCATAAAATTGTACATTTAGGATTTGTGCACTTTCCTGCATGTATTTCCGATTTCTATGAAATTTACATTTAAAAAAATAGTCTCACCTGTAGAATTACTATGAAAATTAAGGAAACAATTGTGGAGGTTAGCACAGTTTTAAATACTTCCATTAAATAGTTTATAGAATGTAAGAGGAATTAGGGGCACAGTATCAACAAGTATCTTGATTGTCCACTTTTTCCTTTTTAGTGGTTTTCTTAAAGTCTTTTAAAGTTTTTAAAATGACACATTTGGTAAATAAAATTGAGCTTCTTACTTCTTGTAAGATGTTCTTTTCCTAAGTACATCTAATATTTTTTATTGAAAGGGAAAGTGAAATAAGGCTTGTGCTTGCCTTTGTAAAGATAGGTTGAACTGTAAACCCATTTGCACACAGAGGTTGTTGCATATTCTTACTTGATCCTTTCAAGAAAATACCCTTAATTTATTTCTTTGAAGAGTATTTTATGGTTGTCATTTCCCCTTTACCAGCACAACTGTTTAAATTTTACATTCATTTGATCTGGAAGACTGTTTGTTTCATACATTTTTACTATTATCTTGTTTTTAGGTGACCATGAAAGGCTTATATTTTCAACAGAATAACACAAATGAAGAAATAACATTTGTATTTCAAGAAAGGGTAAGAGAAATGGTTTAATTATTAACTGGATGAAGATAGTGTATTTTCTTTATGTGATAGAGCCTGTTTTAAATATCTGTTATTTTTAATGGAACTAAATAAACAAAAATTATGTAAATGAACTCCGCCAATTATTTTCCTTTAATGTTTATGTCAAAATATTGTAGTATAAATATGTATATATATAAATTTTTTTAAATTATGATTTGAGTGAAAGTTTACATAGCAAATTGGTTTCCCATTCAATAATCCTCATACATTCTGTTTTGTGACATTTGCTATAATCCCCACACAGTAATAGCATTGTTCCCATTTTCTCCTTGAGCCCAGCCCTTCCCTTCATCCTTCCATTCATCCCTTTCCACATTGCCAGCTCTTTCCCTGGGCAGTGCTGTCCTCTTGATCTCATATGCTTGATTGTTCTACTGAGTGCATGCCCTCCTGATATTACTGTTCACCTTCTAGGCCTATCATTTGGATGACACTTGAGTCACAGGGCCCAAGTCAGTTCCTAGGCTGAAGGGTATCCAAGGGCCATAGTCTCTGGGGTTCCACCAGTCCTCATCAGTCCAGCAAGCTTGGACTATTTTTATGATTTTGAGTTTTGTTCCCTATTTCCCCCCATTCTAACCAGGACCTCTTATTGTGATCCCTTTCAGAGCAGTTAACAGTGGTTGTTGTTGTTGTTATATGCCATCGAGTCGGACCTGACTCATAGCAACCCCTTCTTGGGTTTCCAAGGCAGTATCACTACGGAAGTAGATTGCCCCGTCTTTCTTCTGAGGAGTGGCTGGTGGGTTTGAACTGCCAGCCTTCTGGTTAGCAGTCAAGTGCCTTAGGCACTACGCTACCAGAGCTCCCATTAACAGTGGTAGTTGGGTATCCTAGTACTTCTGGCCTCAGCGTTGTGGAGGCTGGGGTTCAAGTGCTGCATTAGTCTTTGGATTAATGTTTCCTTGAGTCTTTGATTTTCTTCACTCTTCTTTTTAAAAGAATTGCTATGAAAGATTGTTTATTTCCTCTGGGTATTGATAGTGGTGTGAAAGGTATTAGTTAGTAAAGCAAAACAACCTTATAATAAATAACCTTTTTTCATATATTGCAAAATTAACCCAAGTTATTCTTAGTGCCACAGTAAAGTGAGTTTTCAGATTATAGACATATTTCAGAATACTTTATCTCATGTTATGAAGTGAGAGGTTTTTACATTGTTTTTTATACTAATTTCTGGGCTTTGCAAAATTACTTCATTTAGTAAGCTTTAAATGATCTCTAGTGTTTGGGCTACCTTAATCGTAGCTAGCATATTCATACATTGGTGATTATAGCAAGCCAAAATCACTCTACTATAAATTTAGGGAAGAAAACAAAGTACTGTATCTGTATCAGTATTGCATAGCATAGTAGTAATAAGAATTCTTGGATCACAAACACAATCTGTTTTCCTCTTTGTAGACTTGCGCTAACTCCAAAATCATTTTTGATCGGAAGTCTCAGTTTGGCTTCTGCCATTGGGTCAGGATAATGGTCCAAGAGATTTGATTGGCCCTTAGGCAGAATTATTTCCAGGTTCACACAATATAAGTAAAATTTACAAATTCATCAATATTATTGAATATTTTCATAATATATCACCCAATATTTCCAAATCTGAGATTTTAAAAGATAATACCAAAATATGTGTTCATGGCAAATAAAGCACAGTGGTAACTGAACATAATCCCTTTGACAGAAACATAAGCAGTGCTATGCAAGTAGCTCTTCTTGGCCAACTTTTGATCTATTTTTGAGGGGATATGAGGAATTGAAGAAAGTGTTTTCATTATTGGTTCCAGGTTATGGTTATTTGAGCAGGTATATTATATTTAATAATATGGGCAGATGGTGTTGAGTGCTTGAGCTTAGAATATTTTTTACCTTTCAACTTATATTTTGCTGTGGAATAGGAGGGAGAATTAAGTTCAGTTTGTATTTTGACCACAGAATCCCATGTGGCATGCTGAAATGGCCAACACAGATGTTAAATAAGGAAAAGATTTTTTAAAAACATGACACTAAACTTGATTTGTACCATTAAGAAAATTACGTCAGTTTAAGACTGTGTTCTGTGTGTATTTGTCAAGAATGTCCCTGAAGGTGTGGACAACTGATGCTTTAAGATTACAATATTTATTGCTCTATTTTGTTGTCTTAAGTTTATTATCTATTCATATATCCATGTTGGTTTCTGAGTACTTTTCAAAATACATGTCCTAAAGTCTTTTAACAATTTTGCCACAACATTTCCTTTATTCATTTTTTATTATATCGTAGTTACTGTTAGTTGTTGCTGAGTTGGCTCCAACTCATGGTGCGCCCTTATATAACAGAATGAAATGCGCCTGGCCCTTACCATCCCTGTGATTGTTGTTGCATTAAGTCAATCCATCTCATTGAAGGTTTCCCTTGTTTTCGAGAGCCCTCTACTTTAGCAACCATTATACCCAAAGTCTCTCTAGCTTCACTTCTAAGGAGCAACCTGGTTATTTCTTCTAAGACTGATTTGTTGTTCTTTTAGCGGTTCTTTTAGCCAGGTATCCTCTGCTCTTTGAAAGTTCTCTTTATTCCACTTAGCTTTAACAAAAGACCTACATTAGTACCGATTTTCACTTTTACAAAAAAAGGCGAAAGTGAAACTAGACTTCAGCATATGTTTTTGCAACAAGCCATTAAAGAGGCAGCATGCACCCTGCGCAGGGAGAGTGGCGTCACCAAGCTCCTTCCTTGGGAATTACACTCAGCATTTCAGCATCAAGCCGCCATAGCTTTGGACTGTGTCTGTGAACACTATGTGTTAGTGTTGTTTTAGATTTTACATGTTATTTAATATGATTTGGTAGGTTATTTTTTAGGTTGAGGATCACTCAAAAAGTTTTTCCTGTATAAATTATTGGTAGTTGCTTCTTTGCTGTATGCCATTTCAGCTTATCAAACTTTCATATGAGTGTTCTACTTCTGGATAGCAAGGGAAACCTGTATATCCAATATTCTTAGATAATTACTTTAGCTTTTTTAATTAAATTAGCTATAAGATTTGAGTTCTGTTAGATTTCATTCAACTATGTGTGAAATTTTTGCCGTATGTTCTCAAAAGACTGTATAAGTCTTATTATGTTGTTATTTGGTTCTAGGAAAATCTCCCTCTTACAGAAGATAACTTTGTGAAACTTCAAGTTAAAGCTTGTGCTCTGAGCCAGATAAACACAAAGGTATTTGGTGCATTTATTTTAGCCAAAAGTCAAATAAAATTTTATATTATATTTTGTGTACAGATACATTGATAACTGACTTCTTAGTACCAATAAATAATTAGCATCCTTAAAGAATAGAACAGCTAGAAAAAAAAATAAGGTACATTTGTGTATTCCTACTTTCTTAAGGTAAATTATTAACCTAATTAAAATCTTGTATTTTGTATCATATGAAAATATTTTATAAACTCCTTCACATCATGAAAGGCTAAGAGTTTGCATTTTTTAAGTCCTATAGTCAAAGCAGAAATTATCTTTATACATATAGTAAAGATTGAAACTTGAAACCTAGTAAATTAATTTGCTAGCCATCTCTTCTATAGATATTTCCATTTAATGACTTTAGATGTGGTTCATAGTCCTCCTCTAGTCATCTGTGTCTCTCTTCCCCAACCCCACAGTCCAATACCAAAAAATCAAACTCACTGCCATCAAGTCTGTTCCGACTCATAGTGACCCCCTTTGGGTTTCCAAGGTGGTAAATCTTTATGGGAGTACATTGTCCAGTCTTCCTTCCACAGAGTGGCTGGTGGGTTTGAACCGCTAACCTTGTGGTTAACAATGAAATGCCTTAGGCACTACGCCACCAGAACTCCTTCAACCCCACAGTCTTAGTTCATTATTGACTGGGAAATACATGTTGTTGTTGTTGTTATGTGCCATCGAGTCAGCCCTGACTCATAGCGACCCCTCCTTGGGTTTCCGAGGCAGTATCACTACGGAAGTAGGATTGCCCAAAGTCTCCAAATGTTAAATATATAATGGGTTAATGTGCCATGATAAATAAAGCAGGTTGATTTATTCTGCTTTTAAAAGTTGAATACCATAGTTTATTGGAGCTTTAATGTATTGGATTATAGCATCACCATAACTTTTAGGAATCTAAGATTTTTTTCTATAAAGTCATGGTTAGAGAATTATAGAACAAGGTTATGGGCTTCTGTTGGACAATTCGAGAACATGAGTATGATCTGAGAAGTGAGTTAGATCCCCTGAAGTCCTTTCACCAAGAATGCAAGCACTAGTCCTTGTCTGCAGAAGTCTGTCTTCAGCCCTTCCAAGACACTCTTTTTAAAGCTATGAAAAAGCCATTAAAATTCCAGTGTAGCAAATAATCTCCATGTCTAACAGAAGGAAATGGTGAATTCTGATAAAATCAATATAATAAAGTACAGCACTACTTTTTTTTTTTTTTTTTTAGGATTTGGGTGAAGATTTACAGAGTAAATTCACTTTTCATACAGCAGTTCACATATACTTTGTCTCATGTCATTGACCAAAATTTACAATGCAGCAGCTCCCCTCCCACTTCCTCCCCATAGTTACCTCCTCCCAGTGTCCATCCCTTCATACTCTTCTGCACCCTGAGCTATCTCCCTATGCATAAGCAGCCCTTCCTTCTCCCATGATTGTTCTCTCCAGGGCGTGTGTCTACTTGAGGTAAATGTTTAACTCACAGTACAGCACTACTTTTAAGAAGGAATACTTACGAAAACTGTATAGTAAAATAAAAGGGTTGTGTTAAGTTAAGGAGACAAGGTACAATTATTAAGACCATGATTATAATTTTGTGGAAGTATACATATGTGAAATAATATAAAACACCCAGTATTTCTATAAGAATGTCATATAAACATCTATGAAAAGTATCAGGTTCTACTATGGAAAAGGTATTTTTCTGATGCTCAAATATATACAAAACCAAAAAAAAACCAAACTCACTTCGATCGAGTCGATTCCAACTCATAGCAGCCCCCTTTGGCTTTCTGAGGCGGCAATCTCTACAGAAGCAGATTGCCCAAACTTCTGAGGAGTGGCTGGTGGGATTGAACCGCCAGCCTTCTGGTTAGCAGTCAAATGCCTTAGGCACTACACCACCAGAGCTCCTTCAAGTATATACAGGAAACCTAAAATTTAAAGGAAATATTCACGATAATTATTTTTATTTCCTAAAATAAGTATTATAATATCTATAAATATAGTAGCATTTCTAGCATCATAACTTGAAATTTTGAGTGGCAGTAACTTACACTACAACCTTATCTCAGTATATTACATCACTTTAAAAGACAAATACTTATAATTAATTTGATCAGAATGTAACAAAATACTGATTTCTTAAATAATTTATCCTTTTAAAAGAAACTTCAATCACCATGAGTCTGGATTCATATGGCAGTTTCTCTATGTATGTATGTCTATCACTTCTACCCACCTTCATCCCAGCCCCAAATCAAGTCATTATAAAGGTTGTGTAAATGAAGAGCCTTTTATTCTCCTTGACCACATGTCCATCGTTCAACAATGTCTTCTCCAGACTCCCCAATCCCATCTGATCAAGATGACTGGTAAACAGTGTTTAGCCAGACAAGTAGTATTTTGACCATAATTACCCTTCATTCTTGGCAAAGTAAAAATGTAAATAAATAAATAAAGGTATATTAATGGTAATAGAATAATAATGCCCATGCTTATATAGTGATGTACTGCATAATGTCCATTTGGGCAGCATTCGACCACTAATACGTTCATGGTCCCATTAGAAATCCCTATCAGAGAATGGGGCTAGCAGACGAAACCAGATGTAATGAAAGCAACAGCTTCCCACCACAACCCATGTATCTTATGTCTCTTGTATACAAAGCGATTACACTGCCAGGTGTGTAATGGTACAGTACATACACAACCTGTAATGTATATGTCTTGATAGTTACGATAAACACCTCTGTTACTGGCTTATGTCTATACTATACTTTCTCTCATTGTTTTACTGTGAATTTTGACTACTAAGAAATAAGTTTACCATAAACAGTGTATGCTTCAACTTGTAGGCAGCAGCATTCAGTCTCACTGTATTGTACATTTCTTGAGTGTCGTAGCATTATTTATCTGTTTACTTTTCTTTCAGAAATATTACCATGAAGTGTATCATGGCTCCTAAACGCAGCAAAAGCAGCTCTAGTGATAGCAGCACCAAAAGGCAAAGAAAAGTATAAGTTTGGAAGTGAAACAAAAGGTTATTAATACAAAGGTCGAAAATCAGTAAATGCTGTCGCTCGCAATTTAAGAATGCCTGCTTAGTATGGTGTTCGTACGATGTCCAAATCACGTAACATCGTATTTCACAGAGTATATTGTGGACATTACACAACACATACCTGTATATCAACTAATTCTTCATCAATCTCTTGGTTTCCTACCTTCCACGGAAACCTATTTTGTGAAGTTACTTGCATTATCTTTAAAATAAGTAGTATACTCTTAATTCCAAAAATTGAGTCATAACTTGCTTTTTCTGTGGTTTGATTTTTATTCTTGTTTTTCTCATGTGAGAAAAGGCCAGGATTTATTTTTGGCAAGACTATGTTAACAATTTTATTATGATTTAGCTTCTGGCAGAAATGAAGATGGAGAAGGATTTCTTTCCTGTTGGGAGAGAAATTGCTGGAATTGTGTTAGATGGTAAGTTTATAGATGTAAATATCTGTTGTTTTGGTTACCTAGTGCTGCTCTGAGGAGCTCTGGTAGCATAGTGCCTAAGGTGTTTGACTGCTAACCAGAGGTTTGGCGGTTCAAACCCACCAGCCACTCCTTGGAAGGAAAGTTGGGCAATCTACTTCTGTAGTGATACTGCCTCGGAAACCCAAGGGGGGTCGCTATGAGTTGGATCCGACTTGATGGCACAAAACAACAACAACAACAGTGCCGTTCTGACAGGAATATGCCACAAATGGGTGGCATGAACAAAAAGAGTTTGTTCTTTTACAGTTTTGGAGGCTAGAAGTCCAAGTTCAAAGTGCCAGGCTCTAGGGGCTAGGTGAAAGCCCCTCAACCTTGAGCTTCAGCTCTGCCTCCTGCTCCTGGCCCACTAAAGCTGGAGGCTTTTCTTCACTCAGGCAGGTGCTGTCTGCTGAGACTGACAAACCCAAGGTCAACAAGTAAAAAAGGCACAGTCCCGATATTACCAAACAACACAGCAGGCCACTAATTTAAGTTCAGAAAAAGTCCCAAGATTGGCAGCGCACAGAAGGCTACTGAACGATGACTTGGCTACATGTAGAGTTCCAGTATGCCAAAAAGCTAGACACCTTCCTCAAAGCTGCTTCTTACATACTGAAAGTAGCCCATATCCCTAAAGCAGCTACTCAACTGCTCCAGTAGATTCCACCATGGAATTGATTGCCATTCTCACCACAGGGAATAACTACATCCAGCTGCCTAGCCATCCAACCAGGCCCAACCAAGTTGATATACAACCTTAACTACCACTTCTGTAGTTTCTAAAGTAAAATAAATTCATTGCTAACTAATTGTTTTACCAGTACATAAAGTTTACTCTTTCACATAAAAATTTTAATTATACAGAAGTATTTTACTTCCTCTTTTTTTGTTCAATTAAAAAGGGAAATAGGACTGATGTGATGCTTGATAATTGAAGGGCTTATTACTGTTCAGTAAATATTTAAGGATTATATATTTAAATCCTTGAGTAATTATATTTTGAATAGAATGACCAATCTTGTTCTTTTAATGATGTTTACAGGCAAACATAAATTATTTATGTAGGTTAGCTTTCAGCTTAAATGCATAAAACAGTAACTACATTTACATTAAATTTTTTAAATTTACCTAAAATTAAGCATTTAAACATGAACCAGTTTGCTAATCCATAAATGGGAGTTATGGTTTCTGGGGAGAAATAACCAGTAAGATTTTATGATTGATTTAAAATATTTCATGTTTTACTTAATAAATAATACTTTTAATATGCAGAACAGTTAGCCTAAATATTTGAATTAATTTGTTTCTAAATAGATATACTCTTAATAGTCATTGCTAATAGATAGTAAGGAGCTCTGGTAGCATAGTGCCTAAGGCTTTTGACTGCTAACCAGAAGGCTGGTGGTTCAAACCCACCAGCCACTCCTCCGAAGGAAGGTTGGGCAATGTACTTCCATAGTGATACTGCCTTGGAAACCCAAAGAGGGGTCGCTGTGAGTCAGGTCCAACTCCACGGCACATAACAACAACAACAATAGATAGAAATCAGTATGTTTATTCTTATTATGTGAATGCATGAATGAGTATGTGACAATGTGGATTAGACTGTATTTGAGTTTACCTTTGTAAAACCAAAACTAAAACATCTACAATGTATTTGATACTTTTCCTCAGTGTTATCTCCTGACATGGCTAAATGATAATTCCACTTTCTCTCCTTTATTCTGCCCCAACTGTACAAAAAAATAAAAATAGGAAGTATAATAGCCACAGGATATTTGATCACTTATTCATTCATTAATTTAGCCCACATTTAATGATCACTTGCTAGGTGCTAAGAATATGAAGATAAACAAGACAAAGGCCCTGCCCTCACAGAGTTCAATATGGGAGAGATAGGTACACAGGTATTAACAGATTACTGTGAAAGCTCCAAGGAGAGGTACTCAACCCAGCTATAAAAAATAGGAAAGGCTTCTTGAAGGAAGTTAACCAGGTGGTAAAAGGCAGCGAGGAGAATCATACTCAGCAGAATGGACATAATGAGCAAAGAATAAAAATGTGTTGTACATAAGAATTACAAAGAGTTTGGTATTGCTGGAACCAAATAAAGTTCTGGGCCAAGCTAGAAGAAGCAAGATACTTAGCAAGAGAGAGATATTTTGTCAACAAAATTCTCTACCAAATATGGCAGAATAAAGGACATTGGAAAATTATATTTTAAAGATGACATGAACACTAAATCCCTGTCCCTAAAAATGAGGCAGGAAGGTAAGCAAGGGCTAGACCCATGGAAAGCCTCATATGTCATCACTCGGACTTCATCCTATAGTTGCTGAAGAACTGTAGAAGTGTTTAAGCATGGAACTGTCTTGGTCAGAATGGGCTTTATAGGATGATAATTAGAGTGGTTATATGAAGGATAGATTTGAGGCAGAGTAGACTGTAGACAAGAGGACTGGTTGGGTTGTAGATCTATAGGCAAGAGACAGTAATGGCAGAAATGGAGAGGTGGGACACATTTAAAAATTAGTGAGGAAAGAAAATCAATAAAACATAATTGGACCTGGGGAATAAAAGATGGGGAAAAACCTCTGGATTCTGGTTAAAGAATGAATTGGTGCCACCAAATAATCAAGGGGATCTGATGATGAGTTCAGATTTATACTTGTTAAGTTTAAGGCCTAAATGAAATGCCAGTAGTTAACTAATAGGTGGTAATATACAAGTTTGAGCTCAAGAGTGAGAGATCTATGCTGAAAATAATATGTATTTGAGAGTTCCCAGCATATAGTTTTTATTTGTATTTGAAATAATAGAGTTGATGAATTCACCCAAGAAGAGAGTAGAAATGATGAAGAGAGGTAAGCATAGCATGGAATACTTGGAAATACCACTATACAAGGGACAGATGAAAGACGAGGGAAGGAATCCAAGAAAAGAGGGCCAAAGTGGTCCTAAGGGGACTAGGACCAGCAGCAGAAGAGAAGAGAAGAATGCACTAGATCTGAAGTGTTGGGAAATACAGCACAAAGAAGACGCAAGGTACAAAAAAGAGGACGTGAAATAGGAACATTAGACAGTAACATGCTGAGCACCAACAAATGAATTTTGAGCCATTTTCTTGGCAGCCAACCGAAGAGGCTACTTCCTGGTTTCAGGATTCTACCTTCTTTCCCAGCCTCACCTCACTTTCCTCGTCTATTAAATAGGAATAATAATACCTACCTCATGAATATGTCATGAAGATTAAATGGGATAGCATGCTAAAAATGCTGGGTACAAGTAGGCATTCAATAATGTTTGTTTGTTTGTTTTCCCTTCACCTTTCCTCTTGTAACTATTTGGATCAAAATATTCAAATGAATTGACAGATAGTAGAGACTTTGTTCTTTTCATATTCAGGGAAAACATAACTGTAATGTTTCTGTATATTTCCAAGAAATTTCTTGGCAGCTAACCTGACTATCTCAAAATCCCAAATTAAAGTTATTTTACAGGTGACTCATAACCAGAATTCCTCATTGTGTGTCTGAAATTCTGTAAGTAAAATAATGATAGACGGTGCTAGCTATGGGAGAGGTGCAACATAGTCTTCATAGGAGCTATAGAGTGTATTATTTTCCTTTTACTCCTTCATCCATAAAGTTAACTAACTAGGCACAAGAGCCACAGACAGAGGCTTCTTTCTTCCTGATGTCAATAACCACATAGCCCAGATTTCCCAGATACTATAGATTCAAAGTATTTTATCTTACAATCCTTCTAGACCATCAAAATGTCCTTTGAGATTGTTGGCCTTTTCTTTGACTTCATGACTTTTATAAACCTAAGGATCTTTTGACTTATATTAATAGTTAAATAATAAGAATTATACTGAGTAATTTCATAATACTAATTACTAATTTCACTCATTCTTTAGTTGGAAGCAAGATATCGTTCTTTCAACCAGATGATGAAGTAGTAGGTAAGTTATAACTTATAGTCCTATATTACGAATAATCTTTTACTGTCTTTTCTCTATAGTTACTAATATTCAATGGGACCTTGCAAAAACCTTTCCTAATATTTGGAATTTACTCTCAAATATCCATTAATGAGTAAAATTGGAAGTTTGATAGATAATAGCAGAACATGTAAACTTGTCAGTATCTGGCTGTAAAATGGTGTCATAGATAGAAAAATAGCTATTGTTGTTACTGTGCTTGGCATAGCCTTTTCCTGACAGATGTCCAGTCTATGGTGAGATTAAAGGCTCTGAAGAAATGTAAAGTCATAACTCATCTACTTTAAGACTACTGACTGAGTTAGGTAGCTGTATAGAAGTGCTATTCTCTGCATCTCACTGGAATCCTATTTCTTCCTTGCTGTCCTTGTAGAAAAATTTACTTGAAATATTTATTCATTTTAGAATTAATACTATTTTTGCAAATATATAGATTTATACTTCTGTCAAAGGGAGTTATACAAATATACAGTGTATGACTTTAGTAATAGTCTTTGAAGTTACCATTTCTCCATGGAAGATACTCATGTAAACTTTAAAAATGTTAAGCCTTATAACATGTTTGAAGCTTTTTAGAGTGTATTTATAGAAAAGTTTTTTCAGCTTTTTACAGTCTTGCCTTTGACTCAGGTATTTTTTCTGGAAAATTGATAATTCCTGTCTTCAGTATCTTTGTTACTGGCCAAGAAGTCAGTGATACTCTCTTATTCAAGTCTCTTTTGGTAAGATACCAAGAACAAAATCAGAATAATTTTGGGGAAAAATGGAATTCTTTTGGAAGTATATTGAGGTACCTCAAGGAACCAAAATGTGGGAATGTAGCTGTGCATTAGAGACAATTAGAACCAGGAACGTAGGTGCCCCCAAGAATCTGATTTGGTTCTACACATTAACCATTGTCTTTACCATGAGTCAGAGGTGAAGGAAGACGGAGAAAAAGAAAAAAATAAAAGAGAAATGTTACAGATGCTACAGTGTTGGTGACAGTAAAATGACCCACTTCCCTTCCATGTTTCTGCAGTCTCTTCCTTCTCCACATCAGTAATTATTGGAACCTTCCTCAAAATGCTAGTGAACAAAACTTATGCTAATCCTTATTGGCTTTTCATTAGGAATGAATTCATATATAGCTTGTTTCTCTTAAATGACACATTTTCATTTTCAGGAATTTTACCCCTGGATTCTGAAGACCCTGGGCTTTGTGAAGTCGTTAGAGTGCATGAGCATTACTTGGGTATGTGTCAGATCAGTCTTCACAGCTCAAACAGGTCTTCACTGGTGTATAGTTTTGATATCTTTGCATCTGCTGTGGGTATATAGCCGTATCTCTGAGATACTGCAAGCTCAATTCCAGACCACTGTGATAAAGCAAATAGCATAGTAAAGTGAGTCCCACAGATATTTTGGTTTCCCACTGTACTATGATCTATTCAGGGTGCTATAGTGTTATGAAAATGTTTGAATATTGTGAGGATTTCCAAAATGTGATACAGACACAAAATGAAGCACATGCTATTGAAAAAATGGTGTCAATACACCTGCCACAGACCTTCCATTTGTAAAAGACACGGTATCTGTGAAGCACAATAAAGCAAAGTTCAATATAAGGAGGTATGCCTGTACATAGTAAATAATTGGTGGAAGGTCACGCAAATACTTTCTAATTACATTTAGGATCCATTAAATTCATATTCAAACTAAATAGTATATAGATCTTAAGTTTCACTTACACTGCCCATAGTAAAAGCTTTGAGAAGTGGTTTATCCTTGGTTCTGAAATTATTCCCTAATCAGATTCTTTTATTTATTTTTTTATTAAAATTTAAAATGTATAAAATCTAGACGTACATGTAGTGTCTGAGACAGGAAAGAATCAAAAAAACGTTTTAAGTTGCTTTTGCTAATATTGCTTGACCAGTATTCAGTTTAACTGAAATGTTAGTTTTTTACTTTTCTTCCAGTTTTTACTTCTTGAAAAATTAAGAATATGTATACATATATGAAAACAATGGAAAAATGGTACATCTCTTTAGTAATGAGGGAAAAGCAAATTAAAACCACTTAGAGATACCATTATTATGTAAAAGTAATCAAATCCAAATACTCACTTTTTTTTTTTTTAATTGTGATTTGGGTGAGGTTTACAGAGCCTTTCCATACAACGGGTCACATATACTTTGTCTCATGACTTTGATCACAGTTTACCACACAATGCAACAGCTCCCCTCCCACTTCCTCCCCATAGTTACCTCTTCCCTGTGTCCATCCCTTCATGCACTCCTGCCCCCTGAGCTGTCTCCCTGTGCATAAGCAGCCCTTCTTTCTCCCATGATTGTTCTCTCCAAGGAGGGTATCTACTTGAGGTAAATGTTCAACTCATATGCCTCTGTTTTGTTTGGCTGGAAACACAGGTGTGGGTTCAATTCCAGACTTGAAGGGCAGCTAGGTGCCATAGTCTCAGTGGTTCCACCAGGCTCTATCGGACCAGCAAACCTGCTGCCCCCCCCCCTTTTTTTTCTCCAAATGATTTTGAGTTTTGTTCCACATTGTTCTCCCTCTCTGTCAAGGATCTCCTACATAGATCCCCTTCCAAGTGGATGACAGTGGTAG